ATCTTTTCCACAACGTCTTCAAAAGCTTCTCTTCTCCTACCGCAATAGCTGCTCCAAAAGTAATGCCTCCTATTTTATGCTGTTGGCCCACGACACCAGAGGCGGATGTTGGTGGTGTGGCAGCAGAGGTTGAACCTTCCCACCAACACCCCGTTACGTTTTGTTGCTGTGTGACACATGGCAGCAGAGGGGCAATCAGACAGAGCAGTGTCTGATATGGAAGTACGGATGAAGTGAAAGTGTGGAACTAAATTCTTTGTGGAAAAAATGGTACCCACTGACATTCATTGTCGCTTGCTGAATGTTTACAGAGACCAATCAATGGAAGTGAGCACTGTGAGGAAGCAGGTGGTGCATTTCAGCACTGGTGGCAGTGGGGCAGCTCTGATGGTGCAGATTTTTACAAGTGTGGGACGCAGGCTCTTGTTCACTGCTGATGAAAATGCAGAGCTAACGGTGGTGACTGTGTTGAAAAATAATATTTTGTATAATGTTTAGTAGCTGAGAATTTTCTCTATCAAATAGTATTACCGTGTTGTTTGTATCTGTTGTACTTTCCATTGAAATAAATGGGAGGCATTACTTTTGGAGCAATCTAAAGTTGGAATCTTATTTGTAACTCAGTTCTACTTATGGCAACACACTGATAGGATGAAATGGTCCCGTCAAACAGAGATTCTGCTCTTTGAAGGCTTTAATGTTGCTGTTCACATCAAGAGAATAAATAAACCCAATTAGTGTTACTTATTCTTACCTCTCTAGTAATTACTTCATTAAAGTAATACTTATGCTGTCAAGTGTCAGGAAAATCTGCTGACAGAAACTAGATATATCTATGTGGTGTTAACATACTATGCCCACTTATCATTCTGAAAAGAATATTAGCAGTAACAGCAATTTAATGTGTATTTTATACAACTTTTCAGTGTGCTAGACTAATAAAAAGTAAAGGAAAGTAAAAGGAAGCTGCAACTCAGATGACAGGACTACATCTATTAAGGAAAGATTAGCAAGCCAGCTGAGCAGCAAATATCCCATGGGTACTTCACACCAATCCATCCCCTACACAGAATGCTCCAAAAAGGTGGGCTTGCATGGTTCCCAAAATTTTTTTTTTATTAACTATCACATTATCTCTTTCAGTCTTTTTCAGCCAGGAAACATGTTCCTGTTCAAAGTTATCAATCTTTCTCTTCCTTCTTCCTTTACATTATTCTCTTATCTGCACTGCTTTCTTTCCCCTGATTTTATATTTGTTTTTCTTCTGTTGTGCTTCAGTTGCTAACATTTCCAAAAGCTCACATCACCTTATGCTGTCCATTGAAATGTAATCAGTGATGCAATTAATGCTAGCATCTTACGTACCATCACAGAAGTCTAGAAGCAAGATCTTCAACTTCCCTAATGAGACTGGCTACCTTTTCCAGGTAAGACTTTCCCTCACGCTGAGCCATGAAAAAAAACATAGTTAACATTTATCTCCCTTCAGAAAGCTCAGAATCTGTCAGCAGAAACTTTCTTAATAAACATTTAGGTTCCTAAAGTGTGATGACTACATAAACACATTAAAGCTGCCCAAGCGGGCCTTGCACACTGAAAGATGACATCACCAAACCATATTATTTTTAAGGCACTTATCACCCCAGTTTTAAAGTTCTATGCCATACTGTATTTTTAATCTTGTTGCTGCTGACCTTTGGATGACCTTGCTTCACAAGTACACAGGAAGGTTGTTATTGGAAGGACTACACAAACTAAACATGTCTCAAAATTCTGAGAGCTATTCGGAGTTTTGACCTGGAATCAAAATTTAGGACTGAACAACACAGTGCACTGCATCAGAGCAAAATTATCTACCTTAATTTCTGGAAAGTCAATAGAAGGATTTAATGGCAATGCATGTTATGGAAGAGAGACTCAATGGGACACTCCTTTACCTTTGCTCTACATCATGAAGGCAAGAATAGTGCAAATGGGCCAGTAGGGGCAGAAAAGTAATACATAAACAGGAAAAAGCTCACTTTGAGCATAAGTTTTTTGTACTGCTTCTTCTAAGAACCACAGCAATTCAAATGTCTTCATATCCATACAAACTGCTGAGCTGTTTAAATTTATTTCACTTAAAAAATATTAACTCGGTTTCCTAAGCCATGAAGAGAATAAAAGCACCAACTACTCTTCTATGTACTGCAGACATTTCCTTGACCTTGAATAGGGAGCAGAATCAATGGGAGAGGATCCTCTATAAGTACTGTTACTTTCTCTTCACATCTAAGGAGATCTGGAGCCTCTAGATGTAAAAAAGGCTTTAATGAGAGTGAGTAAGGATAACATTTAATCAACTGTATTGTAGCCATTTAAAATATTGTGTGCTTCACAGGTGTTCTGTGAGCAGACAATCATGCAAGGCTTTGCTGACTACTTCCCTCTTCAAGGGAAGTCTATCTTGAATTACCTTCTTCCCCAAATCACTACTTGCTATCATTGCCATTTAGCTCAGAATATCAAATTGGTGTTAAAACATTGTCTAACATCCGAAATGCGGTAAATCCACCTCTCCCATGTGGGCACAGTTTTTATAGGAATACAGCTTATCAGCTGGTATATTTGTATACTTGCATGTAGTTTCATAAAATCATAGAATGACCTGGGCTGAAAAGGACCTCAAAGATTATCTAGTTTCAACCCTCCTGTCATAGGCACAGTCAATTTCTGGAGTACATGAAAATATGTGAAAAATTAAAAGAGGTGAATATAAATTTAAAGTCATAATGTAACACCTACTAAAAGACTTCTGGAACATTCAGCTTCAACTCAACACTGAAGGTAAACTTAAAGACGACAGTAATTTAGTGACCACAAGCATTGCGTATTAGCACTCTAGTGTCTGCCCACCTTCCTACACACTGAAGAGTCTCTAGTACTTTTCTGGATTTGGCCTGTAGCTCACTGCAGATAGGCCTGTCCAACCCGCAGCCTGCAGGCCCCATACAGTCTGACACAGCTCACACTACAACTTGCTCCCTGTTGATGCACCATCATGTTTGCATACATGTATTAACTACAAATTTTCAAGTGGAATCTGGAGAGTAGTAATCATTAACTCAAAAATTTGACTACTTCCACAAGATCCATCTTAGCAGAGAAAAGCATCTCTCAGCTCACAATCACATCTTTTTCATGTCATTGCTTTTGGCAGTCCGCCCATTTGTGAACAACTATTGGTAAGGATCTAACAGAAGAGCCAAATGTCATCAAAAGTGTGAAAGCTCACAAAAAACTGCAACCACTTTCATCAAACTGGATGAATACATTAGTTCCACAAAAACATGGTGAAATACCCCGCAAGTTTTTATGTTTTTGTAGATTTATGTCTTAAAAACCAATAAAAAATAAACAACTCCAGTCAGTGCAGCCCAGGCAGACTGAAAGTTTGGACACCCATGCTGTGTATCTTTATGGGCATCTTGTCCCTGAGTGTGCTTTTGGATTTCAAAAGCGAGCACCAGTATAAACTGACTAAGAAACAGTGCTAACCTGCTTCTCTTAATGTAAAACCAGCTTAGTCACAAACTGCAAAGGACTACTCTAATGCCTTCAGCCAATCTGATTTGGTAGTTGGTTTAGTACAGGACATAACTGCTATGGATCAATTTTTTTCTGATCAGCAGCCACAGCAAAACTAAATCAATACCAAGATTATTTCTGTTCTTCAATTATTTGCATTTTGTTTTCCAAACTTTTTAAGTAAACATCACTCAGAACTAATAAGGTTCTGAACATAATTACCACAATCACTGTGATGCATTGTTTGTTGAACTTTAAATACACGACCCTTTAAATGTTCAGCTGGTCATTAACTAAACATTAGATCAAGTCACTTCCTGCAGTTAGTAAAGCATGGTCGCTTTCACAAAGTTTACGAACTGAAGTGAAAAAAAGTAAGCAGAGTTCTGCAGTAGTATGCACTGAGTACCCTTGGTAATCTCAACAGGACAACTTAACTGCACAGGTGTGTACGTGTATAACTATTAAAGGACAGTTAAGAGAAAGAATTTCAGGAGATGGATTTCTTCATGATCAGATGACATGGACAGGGAACTGACATGCCCTTTCCTTTACTGGAAGCCATGTGTAAGCTACTTAAGTCAAACCACCTACAAGCAGTAAGAACCCGTGTGTTCCTGTATCTTGCATTTTTTCTCTGTGAATCCTAACAACGCTAGAATAGACCAAATAAAAATCATAGGACTATGCCTTGGTTTAACAAGCACTTCTCAGCTGACATTTTACTGCTTGCTGCAGCCCATAGAAAAGGAGACCGAAGGAGACATCATGGCGCACCACAGCTCCCTCCTAAGAGCAGAGGGGCAGCACTGAGCTCCGCTCTCTGGCAACAGAACCTGAGGGAGCTGTGTCAGGGGAAGGTCGGGCTGGATATCAGCAAAACGATATACACCAGAGCGCAGCAGGCATGGAACAGGCAGTGGGTTCAAGCAGCAAATTGGACAACACTTTCAGAAACAGGTTTTGGATTTTGGGTAGTCCTGTGTAGAGCCAGGACTAGTGATCCTTATCACCCCTTCCAACTCACAAAATCATAGAAGCATGGCCTAACTCCAGATATTCTATCATTCTAGGACTCTACAGACACGAAGAGCACACACTCGACAAGTTTCCGTCTAACTGCACTGCTGGTTGGTGCCAGCTATCGACACCCCATCTCGCCAGGTGGAAGGATGGACGCCGATACACGGCACACCGTAACCCTCGCACAGCTGCGCAGCAGAGCACCGGCGAATATCACAGCGCCCCGCAGCAGCCCGCTTCAGGGCGCAGCAACTCCGCGCTCCCGCCACAGCACCGCCCCGACAGCAGGGAAGCCCCGCCCCTATTTACATACAGCGGCGCCGGCGCGCAGTGCGCTTCCCTCTTCCTTTCCTCCTTCCCTCCCTCCTCCCGCGGCGGCGGCCACCACGGCGGCGGCGGGAACGGCACGGATGAGGCGCGTGTGCGCGGTGGACGGGCGCTGGGGCTGCAACGGCTCTTTGCGGAGAGGCCGGGCGGGGCTGGCCGCCGGGGTCGGCAGGGGGGGCCGCGGCTCCGGCGGGCCAGAGGAGCTCTTGGAGGCGGGCGGCGAGAAGGGCTGGCGGGGCCAATCGCGGGGCTGCCCGCAGCAGCTGGCGGAGCGCTACGCGGACCTGGCGGCTAGCCACTGCGAGGCGCTGCGGCAGCGAGAGGAGCGCGAGTGGCACAACGCGCGGCTGCGCCTCGAGAACGTGCGGCTGCGCCTCGAGAACCGCCGCTTGCGCCGGGAGAATCGCTGCCTCTTTCGCCAGGCCCTGCTGGGGCCCGGCCCCCACGAGCCAGAAAAGGGCGAGCGGCCGGACCAGGGCGGGGAAGCGGAGACTCTGAGGGCACAGCTGGAGCGGCTGCAGGAGAAGCACCGTCGCGTCCTGCAGCATCTGCAGCGCTGCCGGGAGCTCGCAGAGCTGGGCGGCGGGGAGGTGCAGGAGCTGCGGAGGGACGACGCGCGGCCACCCTCCGCTCTCGAACCGGTCGAGCGCGACGCCGCCCCACTGGGCGGCTCCGAGGTGGAGGAGGAGGCGGTGCTGTCCTGCGTGAGGCTCAGCGGAGATGGGGGCGGTGGTGTCCTTCCGCCCGCCCCGCGCAGCCCCGGGGGAGGGCCGCGCTGAGGGAAGCTGCTTCCCGAGAGCGGAGCGGGGTGCGGTCCCTTCATTTGTGTGTGTCTGAGCAGCGTTGGAGGAGCCGGGAAAGGGACGCTTGGAAGAGGCCGACGCTGTAGTCGAAGAAGGACTCAAAGCCGCCGTTGTTGTGGAGAGAATCACCCCTGTTGGTCCCGCGTCACCTCAGAACTGTGCTGTAGACAGGATCGTGTAGGCCTCGTAGCACACATCAGAAGATGGCTCTGGCCAATTCCTAGTCATCTGTTATGTCAGCAGCACTCCTGTGAGAGCCACTGGTCCCTGGAGCTCTGCGTTGCCTGAATGAGAAATGGCACCTGTGTCTCTAAGGATGGACTTTGGTCACCTTCACATAAATACTGATTTGTATTTCACACTTCCACGTAAAATCACAGTTGTTAAATAAAAACATGACCAAGCAAGTGGTTATCTCAAGTGTGATTTGTGACTGGCAGTTATTTTGGAATTCTAGGAGAATCACACTTCAGGCTTCTGTAATGCAGTTCCTCAAAGTCAGATCATTTTTCCGACCCAGCTTCCTTTAGAAAGTACACTATTTATAATGATAACTTGCTAAGAACCCAGGCTTTTTTTTTTTTTTTTTTTTTTCCCCCATTCCAAAGTTCTCTGGTGTTTTCAGTTTTAGGACTGGTTTCTTACAGTACTCTATTTGAATGTCTAACAATAAAAGGTGTGAAATCCACTCTTCTACATACTTCTGAATATAGCTTTTAAAGAGAGTAGTTGTTATTCTTCTATATAATGTCAACATAAACCTCTTACGAAGTGCACTGACACTTGTGGCTTGTATCAGAAATAGTGTAGCCAATATGAGGGAGGTGATTGTTGCCCTGTATTCAACACTTGTGAGGCCATGCTTCAAGTACTGTGTTCAGTTTTGTGCCCTTCACTTCAAGAAAGACATCAAGGCCCTGAAGCATGGCCAGAGGAGGGTAATGAAGCTGTGAAGAGTCTGGAGCACAAGTCTCCCTGACAGGAGGTTGTAGCAAGGTGCAGTTTGGTCTCTTCCCCATGTAACTATTGATAGGACCAGAGGGAATGGCCTCAAGTTGCACCAAGAGAGGTTCGGGTTGGGTATTAGGAAAAAACTTCTCTGAAAGAATGGTCACGCACTGGAATGGGCTGCCCAGGTAGGTGATGGAGTCACCATCCCTGGAGGTATTCAGTAATCACTGTGGTGTCAACTAAGGGACATGGTTTAGTGAGAACATACTAGTGATAGGTGGACAGTAGGATTGGATGGTCTTTTGCAACATTTGCAACACTGGTGATTCTACCTATCTCTTTGGATTTGCAGCATCAAATAATGTGCTCTCAAAATATAATAAAAAGTGTCACATGGTGCAGTTGTGACTTGTTGATGAATCTTGGGTGGTGTTGTTTGGATGTACTGCTTGATTACTTGATTGCTTGTTTTATATATTCCACATTAATAGAATTCTTAGCATTCTTAGAAATGTCTGAGTAAATTAAATGCTCAGGAATTACAAGTGGGTACAATCACCCAACAGCTGTAGGATTGTCCACTTTACCAGCATGTTTCACGGTGGTATGCATAACCCAAGCAGTATGAAGAATCCATCAAAACAGTGCAACGGAACTATGTTAAGATACACTGCTAAAAAAAGTGCAGCTGTAACTTTTAAAGTGTTAATCTGAAAACATCCTTTTAGAATATGTTGGCATCTTCAAAAAAGAAAGGATTGTGATATATATTTTTTTGATATAATATGCAAAACTTTTAAATTAAACTCCAGGGTCCCTCGGAGTAATGGAAATCTCTATAGGCTAGCTAATGTAAAAATATTAACATTTCACGAAGTTATGCACAGTTTTGTATAAAGTGTTCTTATTAAGTTCTTAAGGTGGACACATTTCTTGAGCAGAAAGAAGAGACCTATAAAATGAAGGCAGTAAAACTCTCAGAGATATATATTGGTAAGAGGCAAATCCACGTGAAGTGATAACAAAGAGGTTTTAAGCATTTTTTGAGATTGCTGCGTCCGTATGAACTTCAGTAAGTTATCACTTAGGTCACACAGTCACAGAACCATGAAGTGAAGGGATGCCTGGAGATCATTCAGTCTGACCCCTTGCTGCAGCAGGTTCCATAGAACATGTTGCACCTGAAAGTGCAACATTCAGGTGCAACATTCCAGGCAGGGTGTGAGTATTTACACCTCTCCAGGCAGCCTGTACCAGTGCTCTGTTGCCCTCACAGTAAAGAAGATTTTTCTCAAGTCTGGTTGCAAAAATTTCATCTAACCAATTGTCTTATCTTCTTGTTTTTGAGAATTTAAATAAAGTTATCTCTAGTAAAATTATGCTAAATTATCACTTTGTTCCATAATGGTCTTCAGGTGGTAGGTTTACACTTTCATGATCTTTGGCTATGGGAAACTACAAAGCTAGAAAATTAAATACACTTCCTAAAGGATATGCCTGTTAAAATCTTACTGTTTGTAATTTGTTTGTAATCTGAATACAGCTAGTTCTAACATTTAGTATTTCAAATACCGTTGCAGAAATGATCTCATCTGTCTTTAAAGCTGACATTTAGCCCAAACCTCTCGTGTTCATGGCTGGCAGAAAACGCAGAATAACTTTCAAACTGTCTGGTAAGTTACAGCATTTATGCATGTGAAGTGATTGGGGAAGTGAAAGTTTTTTGTTTTCTTTTTAAATCTGTTCCAATGTAAATGAGTTTGTGATCTTAAGTGGCACTGAGGGACACTGTTTAGCTGTGGGTCTTGGTAGGTCATGTTGATGGCTGGACTTGATGATGCTGAAGCTCTTTTCAACCTAAATGATTCTATGATCTGATGAAGTGCTAGTACAATTGTATGAGGCACTTACATTTTCCTCAGCATTTTATTGTGCTCTGTTTTGTTCTTGTATTCTACTTTGTGCCAGAAAGGAGTCAAGTCTTGAATTTCTAGCTTTCATTTCCTACTGCCAAGTATTGTCTTTAATTCTGTTTATCACATTCTGTACTATGACAAGTTTTCGTCCTTTTGTTGTAGTTGCTGAAGCAGTGTATTTAGGTATCTTGCTGCTTTGAGCCTTTCCTCTTTTTGTCTGAATGCTACTTCCCTGGTTTGGGAGGGAGTGCATTACTTAACAGAATTCCTACATTACAGTCAGCATACAGAACCGTGCTCTCCTTTATCCTTCTTTGAGCTTGACCTTTTTCAAAATCATGTCAGTTCTATTCCAACGATTTTCAAAACCATGCAATTCAAGTCCATTTGTTTTTTCAGGTTTTTGAATATAGCTTTTAACTATCTCCTTCATCAGGAGATGATGGGGAAAAGATGATCACTTTTTGCCCATTTTTTGTGGCTTGAGGCCACCAATCCAGTAGCATTCTGCATGTTTGCTAATATGGCAGAATTACTTTTGTGTTTCTTAGATGTTTGGTCTTATTTGCAGACCTTTACTTACCCTTCTGTCCTGTGCCTCATGTAAACAAAACGTGATGAAGTGTATGTTAACATGGAAGCTGTATGCATGACTGTGTTCAAATACCTGACTAAAACCTTTTCGGACACTGTATGAACTCTGTGGCAACTACTTTAAAACACATGCATTTGAATAGAATGGCTCAGGGTGTCATATTTAATATGCACTGTATTGCTCTTTTGAGACATAATTCAAGTTTCATTAAATATTGCACTTTGAAAGAGCCTTTGTCCGCTATGCTCATCTTGAATATGCGAGGGCTTTAGCTGTCCTCAGAGAACAATGGCATAAATTAAATGTTTTTGTATGATAAACTAATGCCATTCAGCATTACTTGAGTTCAGCTATTTTCCTATCAAAGCAGGCATCTGCTATACTTCCTTTTTCAGGTATCTCATGATGTTCTACATCCCATTTTGGTTTTGTTAAGTTCAGCCAAGACTAAGCTGAGCAAGGTATTTCTGATGTTCCTTTTCCAGATTCAGATTATTTAAAGAAGTGACCTAGAGACAGATTACAAAGTAACAGTCTTTTTTTTTTTTTTTTAATGTTTTAAAGTGCTGTCTGGTATCTGTAATGGTGACTGGAAAGTTCAGGTGTTACTGCCTGGGGAAATACCACTATGTGCAATATCCAGATTGAATTTACTATCATATTTCTTCCTAAGTGAAACCCAGAAGATAATATTAGCAAGTGACTGTAAAACTCCTTTTAATAAAGGTTGGTGCCTGTATTATTTCATGATTTTCAAGGCTGGTTGTCTGCTCCTTGCTCTGCCAAGGGTCTTTGTGCAGTCAGAATGTTGTAACAGATCAGGATATAAAAGACATTACATTTAGAGTGCATGAAGTGGTGGCCTTAGGTCCAGCTTTGTAGAACAGCAAGCTGGGAAGAAAGCAAATGGTTGGGTAACCCATAGAAAGATAATATTCTGTGAAAGAAAATTACAGTGAAAAGACATGGCCGTTAGACAACAGCTAATGGAATTACTATATTCATGTATACTGGTGTATTTTTACTGACTAAAATATTGACTGTGAGGTTGAGATAAAGATTTACACTACAAAGAAGAGTAAGTGACATCCACTTAGATGTGAAGTGGCAGTGAGCTTTGGAGAACTGATCTATAAACAGTCCTCATCCTCCACAGACATCAGCAGTGCTACTCATTAGGGTCAGCATATTCCATGTGGAAATTTTGAGTGCAAGCCAGTTTTGCATGTCCATTTTGTGATTTGTAAGATTGTTCCAAACATGTAGTTTGGAATTTAGCACCTACACTGGTTCAATTAAGGGTGTGTGCTGCGCTCAGCCAGCAGGATACTTTGACAAAAGCCCCACTAAGCACCCCACCCAACAGTGGTTGACTTCTGAGGGCACAGACAGTACAGAGAGCTGAGGTGGTTGAGAAGTGCATAAATGCAGTCACTCTGGTAAGTCAGTGGTCATTTCTTCTGCTTTAGCAACTGTCCACAAAAATTACATGGCAGCAACAACAGCTGGTGTGTTTGTATGCAAACTAACAATTTTAGCTGCACCTGTGTTCTTCTCATTATTAAATACCCTTCCTCACTCTGATCCATGACTGTGTTCATTTGATAATTCTTTCTTCAGGGTAGACAGTCAGTTTTTTTCAACCTCATATTAGAACACCTTATTCTCAGCTGAGACTTCTATGACTTCTAATTTTGACTGATGCAATTGTTTTTAATTCAGGACTGATGCTTTTTTAAGAATTAAGATTATGAAAAAAACATTCTCCTGATTTTGTAGGTTGAAGAAGAGTGGGGTTTTGCTGTGCTGCACTGGTGAGCAAAAAAAGCGTTGAGGTGGGCAGTGTAAAACCACTTAGAGCAGAGTACTTGACGCATTTTCCCAAGGACTCAACATTTCAAAGCTAAGATCCAAAAAACAGACCTTTTCAAAGAAATCCTATGGA